TACGTCTTACATATTTTCGCCCATCACTACCGAATAACGATATCTTAGTTTCATCACTCCATATAACTTGTGACCACTGATCATCTGTCCAATTAATGTGTTCCTTTGTCCACTGTAGTCTTTTTTTTTTTTTTTTTTTTTTTTTTATTTATTTATTTATTTATTTATTTATTTATTTGTTTCTGCTGAAAATTAAGGCTTTTTTCGTGGAATTCTACCTTTCAGTCCAACATCTGTTAATCTTCTCCTGATTGTTCTTGAACTGACCGAAAAGCAAGCATCATTCAGATCACATCTGATGGGCGCTGATGACATTTTTCAATCTCTAAGACCTAGTCCTTTTATTCTCCTGTCATCAATAGATGTGGTGCACCTTTTTCGGCCTTTTTCTTCTTTGTTGTTTATTGAATTTGTCTCCTGATATCGTAAACAAAACTTTCGAACTCCATATGTAGTCACTGAACCACCCACCTGTCTTGCAATTTCAGCATAGGAAAGACCACTTTCTCGTAACACAATAATGTTACATCTCTTTCTAGGTGTCCAATCTACTCTTTTATTTGATGTCATTGCTTCTTGACTAAATATTAAAAACTTTTATGAAAATTCCTACTTGTAATTGCAGTGTATAAGAAACTGGTTCTCCTTCAACAGAACAAAGCAAAATAATAAATTATTTCAAGTGTAAACATGATGTCAGCTTCTACTGGCAGTTACTAACATTTGATTGGTTCTCAGAACAAGAACAGTGATTGGCCAGGAAAGCTAGACATTACAAACCACTTCATAACTGTGCCTTTTTATTTATATTAAAGTACATATAACGTTTTTTGTATTCTAGTTTGTTTTGATAACGTAAACTAAAGAATTAAGCTTGAAATTTTTTACAAAAATTAAGGGCAAAAATTATGTAAAAACTTTTTCTTTCTAATTTTGGAGCCAGTAGGTCGCATTTTCGTCGCTCCTCGTGTTTCGTCTTTAGCAGCGGAAGTTTTTATTTTCAGGTGCTGAAACAAGTTTTATTATTTAGCCCACATCAGTAGGAATACGTAGACACTAATGTTTTGGTTCTACGACCAACGGTTCATTAATTACGGATTCATTAATTTCTCAGTTTAACATCCAACGGGGCTGAACCTTAAATTGTTTTTGAGCGACCGCCGGAAGCCGAATCATATTGAATTTTATATCGCTGGAAAGAGGACCTTACAAGGAGTATTTACAGACCAGTTTCAAGACAATTGGTTAATTATACCGCTAGTAATTAATTTTTAAAGTAAGTGATTCTGCAGCCACGAGGTGTCCGTGACCCTCGACCTTTTCAAGCGATCCAACGACCACCTGCAGTCCAGCGACCCCCCGGCGTCAGCGACTTCCTTTCTATCAACAAAGGGGAAAGAAGACCAACAAAAGGGACTGTGTTTTAATTCGTCTTTTCGCTAATTAGGCAACTAACTGAAGTAGCTCTTCGGAACCTTCAGTTTTGGACTCCTCATGTGACAGGGATTACAGGGATATAAATTTCAAATTTTTTGGACGACTACAACCCGAGTTTTCATTTTTTGTGACTTTATTTTGGACAGGATTTTCACCTTCGCGCGCCTGTGTTTACGTACAGTGTTTACCTGATTTATGTCCATCTCTTGGATTACACAGTGACAATATTTGAACGATTTCTGCAGAAACTCATTATACAGAAGAAGAGCAGAGAAAATAGCGGCCAAGTGTCAATTCGCTTACCGCGGCTGCTTATAGATAGTACAGAGAAGGTTAGCAACCAAGGTAGGATTGCCTGTTTCTAATTAAATCAATTAGTTTAATTAAGAATCGCATTACTTACTGGTTAGACTCGGCTAATTTTAGTCATTAACTTCATATTATAAAATAGGCTTCAGGTATATAACACCGGATACTGTATAATTATCAAACTATGTCAATTTGTGTCATTTTGTGCTATCTAATAATATCTATTACTGCTATGTTAATTTAATTACAGTTTCTAACGCTACAATTTTGCTGTGATCGTGTGCATTTAATTTGTACTCTGCACAGAAGGCTCTAGCTCCCATTACAAATCTGTTTTATTTACCGCAGTTCAAACTGGCTCATTAATTATATTAATTGCCAGTATAATTCTCTTGTATCAGTATTTGATAATATGTTTTTACGGAATGCATAAACAGTAGCATTTCTTATCAGAGCATTATGATTTAGTTTCCCTGTACTTTATTCTAAATTTTTATGTGTGGTAATTGGCTTACCAACGTGTTTTAATTAGGCAGTAATTAAACATAAATAGTAATACTATATTATTTGTGTGTATCCCTGTGCATATTATTTATTCCGTGAATGTATAATAGTACTATTACAGCATTCTGGTCACCTTTTGATTATTCTATTTTATTAATTAGCATTAATTAATTTGTTGATCATTACAATATTTCTTCGAATAAGAGCATTAGCGTTACTTAAAGTGCAAGTGTGTGTGAATTACGAGCAGAGTTAGTGTCACAGTGAAATTTTACTGCAGTGAAAGTGAATAAGTGATTATTAAGTGCTTACAGTGATACGTGTGCAAGCAATTAGTGCACAAAAAGTGCATTAGTGATTAGTGCTGATTAAAGTGCAGTGAAAGTGAATAAGTGATTATTAAGTGCTTACAGTGATAGTGCAAGTAATTAGTGCACAAAAGTGCATTAGTGATTAGTGATTAGTGCTGATTAGAGTTAGTGTCACAGTGAAATTTTACTACAGTGAAAGTGAATAAGTGATTATTAAGTGCTTACAGTGATAAGTGTGCAAGTAATTAGTGCACAAAAAGTGCATTAGTGATTAGTGATTAGAGTTAGTGTCACAGTGAAATTTTACTACAGTGAAAGTGAATAAGTGATATTAAGTGCTTACAGTGATACGTGTGCAAGTAATTAGTGCACAAAAAGTGCATTAGTGATTAGTGCTGATTAGAGTTAGTGTCACAGTGAAATTTCACTACAGTGAAAGTGAATAAGTGATTATTAAGTGCTTACAGTGATACGTGTGCAAGTAATTAGTGCACAAAAAGTGCATTAGTGATTAGTGCTGATTAGCACAAGTGCATTTACGTTCAGTGAGTGCATTTACGAGCAGAGTAAGTGTCACAGTGAAATTTTTACTACAGTGAAATGTATAAGTGATCTTTAAGTGTAACAGTGATACCTGTGAAGCGACTTCTGTGTGTCTCTATGTGATTTTACTCTTTGCATCAAATTCAGTGCGCCATCTCAAGTCCACAACTGTTTCTCGCATTGTATAGTGCAAGTGATTGCTACTATGACACGGCCATCAACCTCAGTGGCTGAGTACGACAATTCTAACTGCGACTCTGATCCGGCAACTCAACTCTTGCTGGCTCAGAATTAGACTATCACACAAAAAATCAATAAGCTCTGCGAAAGTCTTAGAAAAACAGCCTCCATACAAAGACGAGGCAGATACCTTCTTCCTTCAGACGTAAAGGTATCTCTCCTGGATTTGATAGACGCAGTGCACACTTTGGCACTCGAAGGTCCAAATTACATACCGAAACCTGAAGCAGCAGAGACGCCTGTACCAACACTCCCTCCATAGTCTGTTGCGGTTCATTGCACGGCACAGCTCCCAACGATTCATCAGCGCTTAGCGATACCGTCGTCAGAGTCAAAACATACGCGCAAGCAACCAGACCGAAGCCAAAACATACGGTTTTAATTTATCCCTCTGAGGGTACTGCACAGGGTAATAAGGACCTAAAAGCTGTCCTTAACGAAAATTTCCCTATTCAGAAGCTTGGAGTTAAAATCTCCTCCATTAGAAATCTACAGAAAGGAGGACTAGCTGTAGACTGTGTTTCCAAAGAGGACGTGACCAAGCTCACTACTACTTTACAAAGCACGCAGGGACAAGTAATAGTCAAGATCAAGCAACCACTGACTAGACTACCACGAGTGGCTATCCACAACGTATCTCCTGACGTCCAGCCAGAAGAGATAGAAAATGCACTCGCCTCAGAACTCCACTCCACCTCACCAAAACAACAGCCAAAGTCATGTCAAGGACAGAGGAAACACCGTCAAATGGATACTTGAATGTCAACCAGCGGCATTTAGAAGCCTCCTCCAGTCATCCAAGCTCTTCATTGGGTGGAGAGGACATAGGATTGCTGAGCACTTCGACACAAAAAGATGTTTCCGATGCCAGGAGTTTGGCCATCTGCAGCAAACATGCACCAATAGAATCTACTGTGCCTTCTGCTCTGGAAGTCACAGTGTTAAGGACTGTCACGCCAGCAGGCCAACATGCATCAACTGTTCAGACGCCAACTATAAAACGCGCAGCACAATGCCATGCAACCATCCGACCTATGATACCAACTGCCCAACGTATGGACGATACATCGAACGCGTCAGAAGGAGCACTCTCTATGAATAATGAACAAGAGCCGAACAGCACGACAACAGAACAAGCGATACGCGGGCCAACCCAAGAAACTTCAAGTGCGGAAGCTAATTCTAATCAAGCACAGATAAAGTGCACACAAATTAACTTACAACGGGCGGTAGCCGCGACCACGCAGGTAGTCCAGCATGCTATTCAATATAACTTAGATTTCTTGATAATTCAAGAACCTTATTGTCGCGAGGGCCAAGTGGCAAGCCTACCACTGGCATGGAAAATTTTTCAGAAGAAAGCCAATGCAGAACAAGCACCACGGGCAGCCATTGTCTGCTGCAACCCCTCCTGGTCTCCATACGTAGTAACCACAGAACCACAGAGACTTCGTTACTATTCTAGTCATATTTGAAGAGCAGCAATTCCTCCTAACCTCCGTCTACTCCCCGCCCACGGAAGGTCTTACGGATGTGACTTGCAACTTTATACGAGTGAAACAGAAATGCCCAACAGTACCTCACGTCGTTGGAGGAGATTTCAATGCACATAATACTATATGGGGCTACCAAGACACAACGCCTAAAGGGCGAGACATGGAAGACTTTATGGCCTGTCACGATCTACATTTACATAATAGTCAAGGGGCACAACCAACCTATGACAATACCTATCATAAAGGATGGCCTGATCTTACACTCTCAACTGCTAATTTTGCCAACAACTTTAGCTCATGGGATGTTCTAGATGATGAGAGTAACTCAGATCATCGATACATCCACTTCACACTAACACTTGAAGCCAGCATTAATATCCTCCAGAGATTCAAACTACCGGGCGGAAAGATACGACGACTGAAGAATGCCTTTCAGGAGCTGCTCATCAGAGAAGAAGACATACTAGAAGAGCTTACCAACCCCCAAGAACTGGATGATTACACAGACCACATTCTGTCATTACTCAGACAAATATGTCAGCAGCAGATCCTCCCTACAAGGACCGCCAAAAAACTCCAAGGCATATCCTGGTGGACGGGAAGACTGAGAGAGATGAAACAGAGGTGCAGAGCTCTGCGCCGCCGCCTCAGATCTGCTACCAACGAAATTGTAGCTTCCAACATCCTTACGGCCTTTCGGCAAGAAAGGGCCGCCTACAAGAAAGCAATTCTTGAAGCTAAAATTAACAGCTGGAGATCTTTCTGCACCAGTAACAGTAATCCATATGGAATTTTACACAAACTGGCAACGCAGAAGATCTTCCAACCAGCGCAAGTACCAGTTCAACCAACAGCACCACATACTATGGACGTAGCGGCCTCCACCGCCAAGGAACTTTTAAATGCTATCTTTCCCACAGATGATACACAAGCAGATACTTCAGAACAGAGGCAAATTAGAGAAGATACAAGCTCGCCATGCACACACCGAACGATATACAGTTTTCTGCACAGGAGATACGTAATATCTTCCGGTATCTGCCACTAAAAAAGGCCCCGGGTCCAGACGGACTCGATTACGCAATTATCAAAGTTGCATATCAGGCACGACCATCCTACTTCCATAAATACTACAACCAGCTTCTGCATTATAAAATATTCCCCACAGCTTTCAAAAAAGGCAATGTGGTATTATTTTTAAAAAAGGATAAAGACCCCCTAGTATCGAGTTCCTTTAGGCCAATTTGCCTTCTGTCGGCGATGGGAAAGATTTACGAGAAGCTCATCGTCAACAGGCTAAAATTTCATCTACATCAATACCAAAGCATTAGCCCAAGACAATTTGGCTTCAAACAAGGCAGTTCTACCATTCATGCCCTGCAGCGAATCCATGAAGTCATAATTCAGAACAAATCGCAGGGCTACCAGACGGCTTTTATATCGATAGATTTGCAAAGTGCGTTCGATACCCTCTGGTGGCCTGCCATCAGGCAGGCCCTCAGAGAGGCAAGATGCCCAAGAAATATCTTTCAAGTTCTGGACAACTATCTGGCAGACCGGCAACTGATGATCTCTAACAACAGTAGTACTGTTTCAATAACACAAGTGAGAGGATGTCCACAGGGGTCCTGTGCAGGGCCTCTGCTATGGAACCTCACCTTTAATAAAGTCTTAGAGGCAAGGTGGCCACAACATACTGTGTTAGTTGCATACGCGGACGACGCGGCATTACTGGTCAGAGGCCGCACACGCGCTGAGCTTGAAGCCCATGGCAGTGAGTCATGCACTATCTTTGCCAACCTCTGCGAAGAGCTAAAACTCAAAATATCCACCACAAAGTCCACTGCTATCATCTTTCCAAGAAAGGGTACAAATCCAACACGTAGCCCATGTATCAAACTACAAGGCCGGAATATTAAAGTCGTAAAAACTTTAAGATACCTTGGGGTAATATGGGACCCAGGTCTGACTTGGCTTCCGCATATCCAGGCACAAAAGATTAAAACATCTGCAATTGCCAGGAGATCACGACAATTCCAAGGCCGGAACTGGGGACGGAATCCCCACATTCAAAAGGTACTTTATAAAACTGTAGCTGAGAAGGTGGCACTCTATGCGGCAGCTATATGGGCACAACCCATGACCGCACGCAAGGTTAAGCAACTCCTATCACTACAGCGCCCATTCGCCATAGGCTTATGCAGAGCCTACCGCACCACTGCAACTTATGCAGCACTCACCTTGGCAGGCATCATACCACTTCATATCCAAGCGGAGCTAGAGGCCACATATACTAAAATAATACATCTACAGAAAGACGCAACCTTTGCAGGCACCTTACATAGCCCTGCAAATTACGAACATCCATGTACTCCTCTCCCACACGCACCCAGCACACAAGGGACTTGGCATTCACACTATCCTCAAACCGTCACGAAGTCAACCAGAAGGAAACCCTAATATGCACGCGTTCTACACAGATGGCTCGAAAACTGCTGAGGGTGTAGGTAGTGCCTTTATATACTACAGGCAAGGCCATGCTGCACACCATTGGAAAGGGCACCTCAATCCAAATAATAGCATTTTTCAAGCAGAAGTAGTTGCCATAACAGCTGCCATTGAATACGTGGCGCTCAACAACATCACACATGTGCAGCTTTATACAGACAGTATGTCGACACTGCTTGCTCTTGACAAACATAGTCACGCCTCCCCGCTGATCATACGACTGCAGCATATCCTAAAAGATAATCGGCACGCACATGTTGACCTAGTATGGATTAAAGCCCATGCAGGTAACATGGGTAATGAGACAGCGGATGAACTCGCTAAAGAGGCTGCTTCGAACCAAAATGCCAGACCGATATCAGTATCAGCACCACCATCTTTCCTCAAAAGTCAACTGCGAAATGCCGCTATCCAGTGGTGGCAAAGAGAATGGGATCAGGGCGACACGGGAAGGAGAGCGCATAGCTTCTTGCCAAAAGTAACCACGGAGCGCCTTATGGCAATTGCTCCCCTTACCAACTTCATTACTGGTCATGGTCCCTTCCCGGATTACTTCTACCGCCGCCGCACCATCTCAACCACGGATCGCTGTGTTTGCGGGGGTGAGGGGTCACCGGACCATTATATCTTTCAGTGCCCACTCACGGAACAGTTCCACTTCCCGATACCAGCCAATATCTCAGCATTTCACAAGTTCCTAGCCAAAAACAGAGCGGCCATAAATAAAATCTGCAAAATAATAACCACCATTGCAGCATATGGCCAGGACCTCTGTCAACCAGAGTAATATGGCTTACATGCATTACTTGCACTGACATATGCACTCTAATGCTCTACCATCTAATCTCTGACTGCATAGGGAGCAGAAGAAAATTGAACACCATTTTTAGGTGTTTAATTTTCTTCTTTTGTTATAACCTATTAAGTGTTTTTTTTTTTTAAACCGTGCCTGTATGTTAATTCAAATGTACTTCAAATGCCAGATGTCAAACAGTTGCCCCTGTATGGCCATGTATCCACACTTATAACTATTAAATAAACTCCAGGGGAGGACGCGGGACATATGCCTGTTAACCTCTGTTAAACTTCAGGCGTCCCCGTCCTCCGTCACCTGTCACCTTTATAGAAATCAATGTTTGAGACTTCTCTTTTTACAAAGAATAATTTATCTAGTAATTAATGCCTAAAATAATTTGCTGGGTTTTCCCGTAGTATCATGATTTGCCGTTCTTAAAGCATAAGCTAAACTCATTTATGTAGCCATCCCAGCGCTTGTGATGTGTGTGCTAACATAACTTCGAATTATTTTTACAATATTTTTTAACTCTTTCTGCTATGTTTGCCTGTGGTCTATACGGAACCATTTTGATATGGCGTATGCCAAGTCCAGTGCAAATGTTTTCAAATATTTGGCTAACGAATTGTTTGACCGTTATCGCTAATGTACTTTTATCGGTGCACCGTATTTTAAAATGTATCTGTGTAAGAATGCATCTGCGACTGTTTTGGCTGACGCGCGTTTAAGTGGAACAATTTCTTTCCATTTTGAAAAATGATCTACAATTACTAAAAGAAAACGATTTTTTATTTAACTCACTCTGGGGGAAAGGACCAAGAAGATCTATGCCTAAAATTTCATTCGGAAATGTAGCGCGAATGCTATTTATGTACCGGCCGGCCGGCTGTAATTAATATCATTTATTAACTGACATTGATTGCAGGACCTGACATACGCAGTTACTATTTTGTATAATTGCGGGAAATATACCGCCTCGCGTACCCTTTTTAAAGTCTTTCTGACCCCTAAATGACCCGCTGTTTTCGCGTCGTGTAATTCCTTCAAAATGCTTAATCGAAGCGAGGCTGGGATGACTGGTTTATATTCGAAATTTTCGTTTGTAGATTTCGTATAAAGAATAAAGTGTCTATTATTTCACAGTTTTCTGCTCTATTTCTTATTGCATCGATATCTGTGTGTTCAAAGCTTTCGGGGTTTTTCAAATACGCATAGATACTTCCAAATTCAGGATCAGCTTTCAATTCAGCAATAATTGTTTCTCTAGAATCTAAAATTGTTGAAGTCAACACAGCGCATTTGAGTTCATTGCCTTCATCGTCCAGTTTTATTCGAGAAAGTGCGTCAGCTACATTGTTTTTCCTTACCCGGTTTATATTTAATTACTAGGTTATACTCTTGAAGTTTTAAAGCCCATCTTATTAACATGGGCGTTAGGGTTTTCCCCGAATAAAGTCTACCAACAGCCACATGATCCTAAAAGACTGTTACTGGCACTTTGCCGATATAAACTCGAAATTTGTGTACAGCCATTAACCTTTTAACTGTCATGCCCGAGATAATCTCGGGTACAGCACTGGTGTTCGAAAATGTCACGCCCGAGTATTACTCGGGGTAATTTTGATTTTGAGTGCATCGTATTGTTATACCCGAATATATATCGGGAGACGTTTATTTCGGCTTCATCTCTTTGTCTAACCCGTCTGTATCCTCGGGGAAAAGTTAATGTGCGCTCAGTTCAATAGATGACAGCACTTTACTGAAGATTTCAAAGGTTAGAGGTTTAGTGCTTTGGTTCAAAGTGTATGGGATCTTTTTGTTGTAAAATGGCATCTTCAGTTCTTTGAAACGTTATATAGATGATTTAGATTCTTCAAACCGAAGGTGAAGGATGTGTATTTGATGAGCAGTATTTATGATACTTCCATGGTCAGCCTCAAAAATAAAAAACAAATAAAAAATGAAGATATACTCAAGCCGAAGATTATTTCTGATTACGGTCTAACTATGGGTGGTGTAGATCGCTGTGATCAGGAAATATCCTTTCGTCCAACAATCCGAAAACGTCAGAAAAAATATTATAAAAAAGATATTTTTACATTTACTAGACAAGGTACTCTGGAACTCATATTTGCTCTATAAAAATGTAGTTGGGAAACGTATTACATTTTTAGAATTTCGAATCCAAGTTGTAGAAGAGCTTTTACATAAATATGATGATGCAGCTTCTGAACAAAAGAATGTTGGCAGACCACCTACAATAGATAACCCTGCTCGTCTTACTGAACGACATTTTATATCCCATTTTCCTCTTACTCCTGCGAAACGTGAGCCTACAAGACAGTGCAAAGTGTGTTGTTCGAACAAGGATAAAAATGGGGAAAAGATAAGGAAGGAATCACGATTCTGATGTAGTGATTGTGGAGTTGGTTTGTGCTTGGAAAAGTGTTTCCAGTTGCACACAAGACTGAATTACTGAACTACTAATAGGTATTCACTTATATTTATTTATGTTTTAGAAAATAATTAATTTTTTTTTTCATTTTTAGAAAATAATGCTCCACTAGAAGCGAACTTTGCAACTGCCATGTTGAGTGGCAGCCGCCTCAAAGCAAATATGCAGTGGCTACAAAACTTTAAAAATTTTACCCATGTACGTCAAAATATCAATTTTTAACTACTTAAGTATATTTTATTTTGTACTAAACATTTGGTTTTTGCAATAAAAAAATTTGACAATTTGT